GAAAGGTTGGGTGTGCACCTCTCTGGGGAGGGAGCCTTAGGGGTTATACTCCCTTGAAATGGTATTAAAGTAGGGTAGAAAGGGCTGGTGCCTATGTAGCAGCTAGGGTGGGGATTTCTTCATTTTCTTCCTTTTTTGTGATTCCAGCTCTTTACCTAGGAAAGGCTGTTCGTGAACGAGCACCATTCCATATTACTCCAAAATCATCCCCCTATTTGCCAATTGCATCTGAGTGAAATGGACTCTCTGTTCAAGTTGTTGATGCCTGGTTATTCCATATATGCAGCCCGCCATCCTGCTCATAGTTGACAGCTTAATAATTCTACCTCTCTTATTCCATTCTCCATGTAGCACTCTTTCCTAAAATGCTAGGCTGACTTGTTCATTCATTGTATTACACTGACCAGGGCATAAAATCCTTTGTGAACCAATCTTACTAGTTCTCCAGCATCCTTTGCTTTGTGCCACATGTTAACCTATGCATCCTCCCACACACAATCTCCCTTCGGTTCTTCTCCCTGTGTATACCACACTGTCGTTTGTAGCCTTTGTTTCTGCTCTGCCCGGTTTCTCCCATTTGAGCTTCCCAATGAACCATTTATCTTTAATACCTTCCTGTGACATCTTCCTGTGGATAAACTGGGTGCCTTTTTTATCTTCTACTACTACTGGTACTATAGTGCATGGATTGAATGACATTCAGATTTGCCTGACCAGTCAAAACTTCCTGAACTCAATTTGGCTTCTCCTTTATGGGTCTGGAACCAAGAAAATTGTGAACATGCTGGTTTAGCAATGCCAAGAACACTCTAACTACCTTGAGTGAACAGGGTATTTTAAGAGAAATTACCCATTAATACCATAACAAAACCTGGAAGAAGCTCCTGGCTCCTGGCTTCAGATTGGCACAGCTTCGGCCATTGCGGCCATCTGGGGAGTGAACTAGCAGATGGAAGACTCTCTCTCCCTTTTTCTTTCTCTCTGTAACTCGGTCTTTCAAATAAACAAAACAAATCTTAAAAAAAAAAAAAAAAAGACCAAAGTCCTTCTGAGATCTATTTTTTCATTTCAGTGTGCCTTTGACTTAGAAATAAGCTGATTAAGAATATAGCTCAGGGCGGGCGCTGCGGCTCACTAGGCTAATCCTCCGCCTTGCGGCGCCGGCACACCAGGTTCTAGTCCCGGTTGGGGCGCTGGATTCTGTCCTGGTTGCCCCTCTTCCAGGCCAGCTCTCTGCTATGGCCCGGGTGTGCAGTGGAGGATGGCCCAAGTGCTTGGGCCCTGCACTCCATGGGAGACCAGGAGAAGCACCTGGCTCCTGCCTTTGGATTGGTGTGGTGCGCCAGCCGCGGCAGCCATTGGAGGGTGAACCAACGGCAAAGGAAGACCTTTCTCTCTGTCTCTCTCTCTCTCTCACTGTCCACTCTGCCTGTCAAAAAATAAAAATAAAAAAAAAATAATAAAAAAAAAATAATATAGCTCGGCCGGCGCCGCAGCTCACTTGGCTAATCCTCTGCCTGTGGCACCGGCACCCAGGGTTCTAGTCCTGGTTGGGGCGCCAGATTCTGTCCCGGTTGCTCCTCTTCCAGTCTGGCTCTCTGCTGTGGCCCGGGAAGGCAGTGGAGGATGGCCCAAGTGCTTGGGCCCTGCACCGGCATGGGAGACCAGGAGGAAGCACCTGGCTCCTGGCTTCAGATCGGTGCAGTGCACCAGCTGTAGCGCACTGGCCATGGTGGCCATTTGGGGGGTGAACCAACGGCAAAGGAAGACCTTTCTGTCTCTTTCTCTTTCACTAACTCTGCCTGTCAGACACAAAGAAATAATAACGGATATAGCTTGGGAATATGAACCTCTTGCTGAACTGGCTGTGGCTATTCTAGCAAAGTAGATATGTTTAGACACTTCATATTCTTATAGGTCTCAGATCCCATCTCTAGAAATACAGTAAGGACATTTCTCCCTGACCTCTGCCTACTGCAAGGAGTACAACGGATACTGGGGCAACGATGCTCATTAAAGCCATAGACTTCTTGAAAGAGGGAATACTCACTCACTGTAGCTATCATGTTAGAAACCCTGACACTGCTTGGGGCTTTAAAAATTGAATTTTATTAGGGGATGACGTTCCCTGTCACCAGGATGCTGCATAACTCCACGCAGCAAACTCATCCAACAAAATCTGAAAAGGTACAATCAACAAACGCAATGCATTAAGAAAGTTTCCTTTCACTCCCAAAGCTCCAACATTCACTTAAAAAATAGTAGATGAATTTTGTCCTTAAGAGTAGTTAATGAGAAACCCTTGTGACCAGAAAGCTCCAGGATAATACTTCCAGAAAAATGCTTAAAGGAGGCAGTAAGGCTGTATTTGGGTCCCTACCCTTTAATTCCTAGCAGATGTCCAGAGGCTGATACATGGGCATTCCCTCTGCAAAGTCATCTCAGCAGCTTCTTGCCCATGTTCCTGGAGAAAAGTCACAATTTCCCAATTTGCCCAACCATATCCTGAACTTATTTTTAGGGCTGATGCAAGCAGTTTCTCAATGGTCATGGGAAGCATTAACAATTAAAAAGGAAAAGTTAAAAAATAAACCCAACAACTCCAAGTTGACACATATTCAGTTTTTATCTCAAAAAAAGGAAATGTGGAAAAAAAGAGTACTGTGCCGCCAGGCAGGGCACAATGGACGGGGAGATTCCATTTTCTGTGTCCCCTCATTTCATTGTTCACTTGTTGAATGAGAGAGTGTCAATCACTAGTTCAGTAATATTTATTAAATGTCTACTTTGCACCAGGTATTATGCTCGCCCTAGGGCTATAACCACTACCCTAATTCACAAAGGAAAAGGAAGGGAGTAGAAGGTACAGCGTCAGTAGTTCAGCTCCTACTCTGTGCCAGGTGCTTTTCTTGTCAAATTCTCCTAACAAGGGATGACAGAAGGTAGATGAGACTTTCCCCACTTAATGAACCTGAACTGAGACTAAGTAATTTGTGTAGAGTCGCACAATTCAGACAAGCCTGATATTACCATTCAGATGGGCCTAATTCCAAAACCCCTCTAAAAAAATGTCCTTAGAAAGCAGAAAAAAGAAGGAATCACCCATTATCCTACAACTCCAACACAAAGCCTGTTCATACTTTGGAGAATTTCTGTCCAATTCTTTTTTTCTACACATAGGTTAATTTTTAAATTTTTGGAAATGCGCTTCCTAGTTGAAATCAAAGCACGTTATACTTCACTTCGTTGGAACTATGACACCATTGACTGTGAAACGCTCCATTATTCTACATAGCTCCAGAAAGAAAAATCACTGCCAATTATACAATGCCACTGACTGTGAGTTATGTCCAGATTTCAGCAGTGTTAAAATGTGAAAGTAAAAAAAAAAATTATGTCTTACAATCAGTGACCTACTCTGCATTCCATGTCAATCTTCCTGAGTGGCAGGGTGCAGGTGGCCTCACAGCACAGGGACTTGGGTCTCTCACACATTAGGCAAGCCCTCCACTGATCTGGGAGCTCCCCTCAGTGGGAAAAGGACTGTCTTTTCTACATACTTGTTGCTTTTCTTTTTTGCAACTGGGCAATCAAGAAATATTTCTTGGTTGAATAAACATGTAACTGAAGCTTGGGAAAAAACTTACAGACAAAACAAGGTAAAAATTACCAAAGGCCTGAATAATGGAGGAGATCTATATTTTTTGGGGAAGAAACGGTTTTGTGTGGTTACAGGCGGGAAGTAGGGAGAGGAGGAGATGGATGGAACTTCAATCCACAGCCAGTAGCTTTTCAAAGTCTTTTCCTTCTTAAACCTGGTCAGTGTCCTTCTGTTACCTCCTATTGGCTGCTCCGGCCCCTACTTGGATGTTCTCCAAGCTTAACGCCTCAGCACAGCTTGGTTTGTCCATCTTCAATAATTTCTCATACTTCTTCACATTCAGTTTAAATACTGATTTAGAATTGTTAGGGGACACCATCTATTAAATCCAACTAATAACTCCTATGGAGTAAATTTTTGGTAAGAGGCAGACAGAAGACACTCATGTTTTTCAGAAGAAGTTGAAACACCTGGTTTAAATGGACAGTGTCTCGTTTGCTTATAGCAGAAGGCCTGGCTGCTCCAGAAAGTAAAAGATGATGCGAGTTTGCAGATCTGTCAGTTCATCTTTCTATGGAAGTTCACCAAGCTTTGTGTCTGAATTGGCAAAACAGGTTTAAATAAAGAAAGGAAATTAATTCAGACTTAGCTCCCTATGATATTTCTTCTTAAATACAAGATGTCTCCATTTTGAAACTACTGAGATATCTCATTGCCCCACCTCCTTAAATTCCTTATGCACTCCCTGAGTATTTCTACTACATGTGCAGACTTGTATTAGGTTCTTCAAGATAAATGACAATGGAGCAGGAAGCTGATTTCAGAAATAAGATTACAATTACCAGTGAGAAGGCATTTCGCTCACAGGTAAGTACACACAAGGTAAAGTGAGGATGCCGGTGCTGTGCAATCAGTTTAGAGCCTGGAGACATCACCTCAGTGGGGGGGATCAGGAGAGGCTCCAGGGAGGAGGTGTCCCTTCATCTGCGCCTTGAAGGACACACAAGGATCCGGCATGTGGGAATGGGAGCAAGAACTAGGAGGGAGAAGGCACGCATGGGCCCAAGGACTCCCATGGCATCCTCTTCCATGGGCTGTTTATTGTTTAGAAATGAGATGCTGTTGCTAGGGCCTGTCTGTGGGGTGTAAGAGCACTGGGTGTGAAGGGGTCATTGCCTTGTGCTGACCAGTTTGGGTGTCATAAGTCATCCCATCCCAGGGTCCACGCCAGGAAACTATTATTGGATTTCATGCATATTAAGTGTGAAATTTTAGAGGAGAATCAAAAGCCCAAGTCTGATACGTAACAGAACATCTGAAATCCACAAGTGGTAACTAAGACACTTGACTGAAAGCAACAGCACAACAGGACTCCAGGGGCTGCCAGCTCCCTGCTTACCATGGACGTGGATGCCATTGGGCTGAAAGGAAGAGTTGGTTTCTGGCTGATAGGACTTCAGGTGCGCACCTGATGTCTGCTGGGTGAGGGGAGGCTGTGCTCTCTGCAGTATTGACGAAGGAGCCGGGACTCTCCGGGGGCTGATGTGGTGAGGAGATGGAGCAGAAGGTGCGAACCTGAGAAAACAGCCACACAGAAGGCAACATGAGGCACCAAGGGCAACTCTGAAGCCAAATCCTAACTTCCCATTCTGGCTGCACAGGGGTGTGACACAAGCTGCTTAAAAACAAAGCAAAACAGAGCAGAACAACAACAACAACAACAACAAAACAAAAAAACACAAAACCAAAAAACCCTTCAGGACTTTTCTCTCCCACTTCTGATCGCTGGATTCCCAACTCAGATACTGAGGGAATAAAAGCGACCCACAAAGGGAAAACTAGGCACAGTTTGGGTTTGTTAGGCTTCTTAAACTACATTTCAAACTTTCTGGGTTTGGTACAATTCAAAGCACATTTTTACCAGGCCATTTTTTTTCCTGCTAATTTTTAAATCCGTGTGCATTTTAGGGGGAAATTTGATCCGTATGTTGCTGAATCATTTACACTTAGCTCATAAACATTTTGTTTTGTAAGACATATCTGAGGTCCAAGAAGTGTTACAAGTCTCTATTACGAGCCTCTCAAATCCCATTCTCTCTAAACAATACATTTTATTCTGCCAAGAATAAATGAACCTAAACTTCAAAGGTCAAGGGTGGTTTTAAACCCAGATCTCAAGAGATCTGCATGGGTTCTGTACTTGGCAAAGAATATTTTTGAGGGTGAAGTAAGAACCAAACATAGAACATCTTTTGTAGTCACGTGTGCCAATCGCATGGAGACGTGGTAGTTTCTTGGGGGAGGGGGGAACACACTGCTGTTTAAAGAAGGTGACATCATCAAGTAACCTGGGATACAAACTAAATGACTATACACTGATCTGCTGATTAGAAGGGAGAATTGGTAGGAACCAATTCAGTAGGTTTAAAATGATGGTTTTTACATTTTGACATTGAAGGGAACACATATTTGGAAGAACAATATAAAAGTTGAGCCATGTCCACTGAGTACCAAATTAATACCCAATTTGCCAGATAGGTAAGGGACTGGCACAGGTGTGGCAGAGAAAGGAACAGGGGATTGATTTAGCAAAATAATTCCAAAGACACTAGATTAACAGTGGATTGTTTAGTCTCCCCTCCCTGAACCCCACACCAAAGATCTATTAAAGTGAAAACTTCCAGTCTGCTGTTTCTTACATTGCATAGAAAATAGGATTTGCTTTGCACTAACATGTATAGGCTACCATCTGTTTACACCACTTGTTTCACAGGAACAAAGAACTTCACTTGGCTGGGCTTTTGTGTAGAGCCATAGATGATAAAAAGGGAAGATGCACCAGTCAAGTTTATAAGGAAATGTGAAACATTCTGAACCAGAATAGCTAATAAGAATATGTCCATTCGTGTTGCTGCAGTGAGAAAGCTTGGGATAAAAAACTCATGTTCTTCTTACCTGTCCCTTCCACCAACAGTGTGGTGAGTTATGTAATAAGGTGGTTTGGAACCAAGAGGGGGTCAGGGAACACTTAACAACCAAGCCGGGTGAGGAAGCCTGGTTAATTGGTCATTTACATTTTCACTCTGCTGGAAGAGAACAGTAAACGAGTGCCCCATGCTAGGTAAATAGACATATTCCAAGGATTTCTCTCTTCAACAGAATTATCCTGAAAAGACGTGTTGAATGGCCGGCCTTTCGAGAAACACAGCAAGGGAACTGTGGTTCTGGCCTGAGAATGTGTGTGAAGTGTGTACACCAGGGTGCCTCACATGGAGGTGACTGTTGGGGGAATACATCGCCAACGTGTCTCACAAGTCACTCTGAGATTGTGAGAGGAGATGAGGAAACACAGACTTTGGAAATAGAGAGGGGCCGGCACTGTGGTGCAGCAGGTAAGGCCACCGCCTGCAGTGCCAGCATCCCATATGGATGCCACTTCGAGTCCCAGCTGCTCCACTTCTAATCCAGCTCCCTGATATGGCCTGGGAAAGCAGTAGAAGATGGCCCAAGTCCTCGGGTCCCTGCACCCGCATGGGAGACCCAAAACAAGCTCCTTGCTCCTGGCTTTGGATCAGCACAGCTCTGGTCATTGCAGCCAATTGAGGAGTAAAAAATCAGATGGAGACACCTCTCTCTCTCTCTCTCTCTGCTTCTCCTTATCTGTGTAACTCTGACTTTCAAATAAATAAATAAATCTTAAAAAAAAAAGGACTACAGAAAGTCCAGAGTACAATCCAACCTCTGAATTCCCTGGTTCTTACATGTCCCCATGGAGGGAGAATTTAAACTGCAAGGCAACCTTTGTCATTACTCAACAGTCATCACTGTTGTCTCAATTTTGTTTTATAGGCAAAGGAGCAAGATCCTTGGATTGGCTCACTAATTCTATTTCCTCATTTGGGAATAACAGATCCAAGAGGCTCTACATGGTTTTCAGAGCTTTTCTTCTGGTACCTCTTTCTGCTGTGTATGGTTGGGCAAGACAGCAGTATTTAGGAAGTATGAGCCTTATAGAATCTTCTGATGGAAGAGAATTATTTTGGTTCACAATCCCTCACTCCCAAGCAAGTAAATGTGATTCATGAACATGGGTGTGATTAACAGCAAACAGAGAAGGTAGATGCAGAAGGGGAAAGAAGCAAAGATTTTTATCAATATAAAACCTCATATGTTTATAATTTGGAGTGCCATAGTCAACAGGTAAATTATGATTAATAGCTTTTTTTTTTTTTTTTGACAGGCAGAGCTAGACAGTGAGAGAGAGAGAGACAGAGAGAAAGGTCTTCCTTTCCATTGGTTCACTCCCCTAATGGCCGCCACGGCCAGCGTACTGTGCCAATCCAAAGCCAGGAGCCAGGTGCTTCCTCCTGGTCTCCCATGCTGGTGCAGGGCCCAAGCACTTGGGCCATCCTCCACTGCCTTCCCGGGCCACAGCAGAGAGCTGGACTGGAAGAGGAGCAACCAGGACAGAATCCGGTGCCCCAACCAGGACTAGAACCCTGGGTGCCGGCGCCGCAGGCAGAGGATTAGCCACGTGAGCCATGGCGCCGGCTATGATTAATAGCTTTAAAAAGGGAGCACACTCAGCCAACCAAAAGGATAATTCATTTGAGCATTTCAGGAGTCATCTATAATTCTGATTCCATATCCATTAGCCTCTGTATACACACACACACACACACACACACACTATTCTATATAATTATATGCTAATTACAAATCATTCTTATCTATTCATTCATGGAATTTCCCATCCCTGGTCATGCTTTCTTGGTTATCAAGTATCACTCATTATCATGATAACACTGAGTACAGAAAAAAATTAGACACAAATACCCAGATTTTAGCACTGGCATCTTGGAGACCCAGGAGAATAAAATATTATGCCTTCAACAGACTGTACATTTTGCTCTAATTCATACTATATTTTTCTCCATGTATTCAAAAATGAATTATATGGTATAAAGTTAATATAATTTTGAAACATAGTATTTTACTCCATATGAAGTAAATGATTAAACATAAATGATTTTACATGAAATAAATGTGTTCTTAAAGCAGACTTTGATTTGGAAAAGGAATTAGAACAAAAAACTTTTACACTTACAGGAAAGTGAAAAGTGACAAGAAGAGATCATGATTATCAAGACAAATATAGAAACAAGGAAATAAATAAGAATTCATCACTAGAAAGGCTACTGTAAGGAGTGTGTAAATAGGATTGATTTTGAAGTACAGCCAGGAGAATTAATTTTGCAACTGCCTAGAAACATTATGTTTCATTTCATTCATTCATTCATTCATTTCTCACCTCTGTTAATTCAAATTTAATTTTCACAAAGTTGGTTACTTGTGAACAGACTCATAGAAGAGTAGATCTAGTGAATTAAAATTGGAGGAGAGACGTGAAGGTGAAAGAGTTTGCTGTTAGAGGCCATAAGGGAACTTCTAAAAACACTGACAACTCACAGCAAGGAAGATGCCAGAAAAGTGATTTAAAAAGCCCAAAGAACTCACGACACAGCTAACAACAAACAGAAAACATGCATGCTAAAAGAGAAGCTCAGCAGGCAATAGAAACCTTTCTTGGGACTGTTGTAGGTAGAGTCAGGGTCTCAGAATGACATTTTCTAAGTATTCTTACCTACATACCTACACATACACACATCAAAACAAATACGCTGTGAATATTCTGCCCAAAGTCAGGTGAAATTTCTACAAAATTAAAAGTGAATTAACAGTTTTTATGGCAAAATACAAAAAATTTCAGTTCAAAGACAGAGTGTAATTGTTTACAATTTATCTCCTATAGCATCTCTCCCCAATAACATCAGACCAATGTGACGTCACTCTAACTCAATCTGAGCTGCCATGTGTCTATGAGAGACCATCTGAGATCCTTTTAAGGTCTAACCCTGTCCCCCAGCTTCGGATCTCAAATTGGCATTTCAGAGATTTCATTCCACATAGCTTACTAGTCTCCACTTAAGCCTTTTATACTTCTTTGAAATAGATGATTGCTATGTAAACAGGCACATCACAGACTAGGACAAAAAGAAAAATCAATGCTTACCAGAAACACATCACACAAAAGCAAACCAGAGAACTGAGTCAACCATTTCCATGAATTTAGGGGAAGAGTTTATATAACCTAGCATGTGTAATGGCTGGCCAAGAAAACAAAAAAGGGGGTGGAGGGACAGGTTTTCAAGACTCACGAACGACTCTCTCTAGGGGAGAGAATTTAAAAGTTTCTGCAAATATTTAATTATCCATACCTTAACAAATGGCTGACGGGGGTGGTATTTACTTGGTCCTGGTGGTCACCCAGGGAGGCATCATCCTCCCCTGCTTTCCCTGCCCTGAAACCTCTGCTGTCATCCAGCTCCAACTCTGCTGTGAGGTGGACTACAATCAAACTGGTCATCTTTCCTCTTGGGCACTACTTGGCTGGCACCGTGGCTCACTTGGTTAATCCTCCGCCTGTGGCACGGGCATCCCATATGGGCGCTGGTTCTAGTCCCGGCTGTTCCTCTTCCAGTCCAGCTCTCTGCTGTGGCCTGGGAGGGCAGTGG